AAAAAAAAAACATTTTATTTTTCCTGTAAAAAAAAAAACAGTAATTATAATGTAGCAGTTAATAGAAAAGTATGTCTAAAGCCATAGTAAATTTGCCTTCCGGTTTAGCTTTTCCATTATATCATATTTTCATTGCCACTATAATTTTAAATATAAATTATACAAATATTCATATTTCAATTATGATTTTGAATACTAAAATTTAAGTTACTAAGAAAATATTTATTAATAAATATTTTTGATATAATTAACAATTAAATTTGTATAAAGAGTAAATAGTTGACAAATAAGTTTTTTTAATATATATATATTAACAATAGGAAATCACGTCAATATATATATATATATATATATTAACAATTGGAAATCACGTATAAAGTTAAAATATCAACAATAAAAAAGACCAACTTATAATTAAAAAAATAAATTTATTGACGATAAACTATTTTCATTGTCATTAATACACCTTGCATCAATAAAAAAAAGATGAGGTAATGCTTTCATAAATATGATGGATGAGGCCTTTTTTTTTTTTATAATAAGCCACACATGTCAATAATTTTTTTATTTAAATAATAATTAACCCTTATTAAATACTTGTATTGTATTTAATGAATCTTCTAATAACAAAAATACTTAAATGAAAAGACTAAAAGATCCTTGGATGCATAACTTTTTTTTTATTTAAAGGCTAAATTTGTTATTTTACTGTATTTAAAAAATAAAAAAACATAAATGCCTTTATAAAATAGTTTTAAAAAGAATTGATTTGAAGGGTATTAGGTCATTTTTAATGTACTTGAAAAAATAAAAAAGACACATTGATTAATTTTTTAATGACTAATGAGCCATGAAAAAAAGCTAAAATACCAAAAAAAAAACATTTTATTTTTCCTGTAAAAACAAAACAGTAATTATAATGTAGCATTTAATAGAAAAGTATGTCTAAAGCCATAGTAAATTTGCCTTCCGTTTTAGCTTTTCCATTATATCATATTTTCATTGCCACTATAATTTTAAATATAAATTATACAAATATTCATATTTCAATTATGATTTTGAATACTAAAATTTAAGTTACTAAGAAAATATTTATTAATAAATAATTTTGATATAATTAACAATTAAATTTGTATAAAGAGTAAATAGTTGACAAATAAGTTTTTTTAATATATATATATTAACAATAGGAAATCACGTCAGTGATGCATATATAAAAATAATATATTTTTATTATTTTGATAAAAAAAAGAATGACTGATATGTTAAAATGATGTTTACAAGCACAAATGTATTCAGTTAAAATAAATCAAGTTAAGAAAATACATAATTATGGCAAGGTTATTTTTTTACCTTGTCTATTAATAAGTGGAAAATTTAAAATAAAATTGTATAAATATTTTTATTTCCATAAAAAATATTAAAATAGTAGTTATTCTAAGATACTTTAACTAAAAAGCACTCAAATGATTTATTTGAGTTTCATAATAATCTGTTAGCAAAATTATATTCTTTAGTAAGAATCTTTATATTTTTTTTTTATGAAAACAATCGAGTAATTTATTTATTAACTGATATTTCATAAATAATTTAAATTTCAGTGATGTCAAATAATCCCAGCTGTAGTTTTTTTATTTAAATAATAATTAACCCTTATTAAATACTTGTATTGTATTTAATGAATCTTCTAATAACAAAAATACTTAAATGAAAAGACTAAAAGGTCCTTGGATGCATAACTTTTTTTTTATTTAAAGGCTAAATTTGTTATTTTACTGTATTTAAAAAATAAAAAAACATAAATGCCTTTATAAAATAGTTTTAAAAAGAATTGATTTGAAGGGTATTAGGTCATTTTTAATGTACTTGAAAAAATAAAAAAGACACATTGATTAATTTTTTAATGACTAATGAGCCATGAAAAAAAGCTAAAATACCAAAAAAAAAACATTTTATTTTTCCTGTAAAAAAAAAAACAGTAATTATAATGTAGCAGTTAATAGAAAAGTATGTCTAAAGCCATAGTAAATTTGCCTTCCGGTTTAGCTTTTCCATTATATCATATTTTCATTGCCACTATAATTTTAAATATAAATTATACAAATATTCATATTTCAATTATGATTTTGAATACTAAAATTTAAGTTACTAAGAAAATATTTATTAATAAATAATTTTGATATAATTAACAATTAAATTTGTATAAAGAGTAAATAGTTGACAAATAAGTTTTTTTAATATATATATATTAACAATAGGAAATCACGTCAGTGATGCATATATAAAAATAATATATTTTTATTATTTTGATAAAAAACAAATGACTGATATGTTAAAATGATGTTTACAAGCACAAATGTATTCAGTTAAAATAAATCAAGTTAAGAAAATACATAATTATGGCAAGGTTATTTTTTTACCTTGTGTATTAATAAGTGGAAAATTTAAAATAAAATTGTATAAATATTTTTATTTCCATAAAAAATATTAAAATAGTAGTTATTCTAAGATACTTTAACTAAAAAGCACTCAAATGATTTATTTGAGTTTCATAATAATCTGTTAGCAAAATTATATTCTTTAGTAAGAATCTTTATATTTTTTTTTTATGAAAACAATCGAGTAATTTATTTATTAACTGATATTTCATAAATAATTTAAATTTCAGTGATGTCAAATAATCCCAGCTGTAGATTTGTCACTGTTTTATATGGTTACATAATATGTATATTGATTAAAAAAAATAGTATTCTAATATAATAGATATCGTTGGGTTATTAAATACCATACACGCTACATAAAATCATGAACCAAAATCATTCCTCAATTTCTATAATTCTATTAGATAAATTTAAAATTGTTTAGAGATTTATTATCTAAAAATTTTATTTTTTTGGTTTTGAATAATTTCTTAAAGGATGAGTAATCACAAACCATAAATTATCTAATTGTCTAATCTCCAACTATAATTTACACAAATTACCTGTAAGAAATAAAAAATTGTTATGCCTCTAGTGCTAACGTTGATATTATGTTTAAGTAGTTTTTACAAGTATAAAGAATAATTGGTTAATTTATATTTAAAAAATTAATATAGTTTATATTATTTTATTTTAATTTCAATGTAACCCTTATTCTTTTGATATTTTTTTTTGTTGAAGCTTTTTTTTTTCAATTTAACACTCCAATGTTAATTTTTTAAAACCCTCTAATTTATATTTTATTTTAATTCTCGGACTTTTGATGCCCTTATTCTTTTAATTACAATTTTTTATGTTATAAATTTTTTTTGTTAACCTTTAATATTTGATTTGTTGAAGATTGAACTTTATAATTTTTTTATTTGTTATGTTTTTAATCTAACGACATAGATTATGAGTTTTAAAAGTCAGTATGATTAAGGATTTCTTTTTTTATTTGCTTTTATGATTTTATTATCCTGCATTATTCTTCTTTAAAAAAAATAGATTTATGGTTATTTTTATTTTTTTCTATCAGTTTATTATTGTATTTTGTTAATAGAGTTTTTTTATTTTAAAGAATGTTATGTTTTATATTTAATTTTGTAATGCTTTTTTTTTATTTTATGTTGATAAGCTTTGTTTTATAAAATAATAATTTTTTTTAAATAATATTTTTAATATGTACATCTTGCATAATTTTTTTTACTCAATTTCATCTTTTATTTTTTATTAATTATAATAAATAAATTTGATTAACACTAATAATAAATAAATATCTCATTTTATAAAATTAAATATTTTAATTTATATCTATCTCTTATCTTTTTTTTTTAAATTTTCTTTTAATTGTTGTTAATATTTTTTTATTTACATTGATTATTATTAATTTATTTTATAAGATATTTAAATAAACTTAATGTAAAAAAAATACTAAAATAACCTATCTAATCATGTTTTTTTGTTTTTAAAAAAAGTTATAGCCCATGATAACACGCGGGTTGAATATCTATTTTATACTTAATTGATATAATTTATACATAATTTATAACTAATTGATCTTAAAAAACTAAATCCTAACGTAATCATCAAAACACAAGAAATTTCACAAAATTGGGCTACAAATATAGTGCTGACCTTAAATTATTAAAGTGGAGGTGACGGATTTTCCAGAGGTGGAGGTGGTGGCAGTGGTGGGTGAATGAGAAAAGGGCGATGTTGTGGTGGAATGAGGTGCAAGTAAGTGGAAGGAGGGAAGGAAACGAAGGGCAAAGAGGCCATGGAAGAGAAAACCTTGACACAAAGATGGGGAATGAGCTCTTCTGATGATGAAGAAGGAGAAGCAAAATGAGAGATATAAGGGGGAAAGTAGCTGTTTGTATTTTAGATCGGAAGGTTGCGCTTTTTGGAGGAGCACAACATTTGAAATTGTAAAGGTTTAGCTGCTTCTCGTTGTGTCACTAGAAATAAAATATGTGAATAAAAAAAATTACACCTAAAAATATATTTTTTCACTCGAGAAGATAAATTATAAAATTATTATTAATATTTATTTTAATTATTACAAACCATATAAAAATAGGTTTTGGTGAGGGCCTTGTGGCATTTCTCGGGCAAAACATAGTATATAACTATAAAGAATCTTATTGTGATATAATCTAATTTCATTCAATATTACTTTCTGATTATTAAAATTTAAAATCAATTCAAAAATATAAAAAGGAGACTTTCTACTTTTAAAGATAAAAATTCAATATCATCATTTAAAACTAGTTTTTTGGTGGAAAATCTAATGAGGGATATTTTGTTTTTATCTAAGTAATAAAAATATAACCTTAAAACATTTTGGTAACTGTTTTGTTTTTACACTTGTACTTGTCAATTAAAACAGGACTTTAATTCTTTGTAAAGGACTTTACTTGAACCTCCTTAAGAAAAATAAAATAAAATCAAGGGTTAAGATCACAATGAAAAATATTCAACAGTCGTTAATCCACGGTTGAAAATCATTAAGCTGAAAAATTCACCGCCCCCTCCGGGGTCAAAAAAAAAAAAGACATTGAAATGGCAGAAAGAGAGAACACCGTCCGTAACTCCGCTCTTTTGTACCCAAGAACTACTGCAGCCATGGCCGATACTATTGCAGCCGCCACCGTTTCCCTCTTTCTAAAACCCTCAACTCGCCACTCCCAGCTCTTTCTTACTCTCACCGCTTCTCTTCCTGTTCTTCGATTCAACTCTCTAAAGAACCCGAAGTTCCGGCCATTGGTAGTTTCCTCTTCAATGAGCATCGATTCAGTGGCAGCCCCCCAGGAAACTTCATCAAAATCATCCTTCTTTCTTGATCACAGAGAAGGCAGCAGATTCCTTCACTTTGTCAAGTACCACGGCCTCGGCAATGACTTCATTGTGGTAATCCCTTTTTTCATATGATTTATTATTTTTATTTATTTATCATTTTTTAAAGCGTCATCATTTGTTTGAATTAGTTTGATAATAGGGACTCTAGCGAGCCCAAGATAAGACCAGAGCAAGCAGTGAAGTTATGTGATAGGAATTTTGGGATTGGGGCAGATGGGGTGATTTTTGCGTTGCCTGGGGTTAATGGAACTGATTATACAATGAGGATTTTTAATTCTGATGGGAGCGAGCCGGAGATGTGTGGCAATGGGGTGCGGTGTTTTGCCAGGTTTATTGCCGAGTTGGAGAATTTTCACGGCAAGAGACAGAGTTTTACTGTGCATACTGGTGCTGGTTTGATTGTTCCTGAGATTCAAGAAGATGGGCAAGTTAAGGTTGATATGGGGGAGCCGGTGCTTAAAGCAGCTAACGTGCCAACGAAATTGGCTTCGAATAAGAATGATGCTGTTGTTAAGTCGGAATTGGTTGTGGATGGAGTGACTTGGAATGTGACATGTGTTAGCATGGGAAATCCTCATTGTGTAACTTTCGGCACCAAAGGAGGGGAGGTATGCATTTTGGATTAAAGCACTGGCATTTGCGTGTTGCCTAATTAGTAAATGATTAATAAGACTGGTATTTCTTTGTTGATTATTGATGCTCCTGCTTGTAATAACAGGATTTGCAGGTTGATGCATTAAATCTGGCTCAAATCGGTCCTAAGTTTGAACATCATGATGTGTTCCCAGCACGAACTAACACTGGTCAGTTCGTATTTTGTGATGATTTTTGGACATTTACAAGTTCCAGAGCTTGACTTTGTTTTCTGCTCATAGTTGTTGCAATTTATTCTCATGTTGCTTTGGCGTTGCTATGTGGAAGGAGTGCCCAATATGACATGGGATTTTGATTTGAACTTAGGAGTTTTTAGTCTCATGCATTCTTTGGATTGCATCATGCAATTTTAATTCAGTAGTTCTCATGTGTTGGTATCCTCTTATGATTCATGAATGATCTCCTGTCTGATGCATCTTAAATGCATTTAAATTCTGCGATTTTTTAGTTTATTTATTTAAATTTCTCAAAAATTTACATTTTGCAACTCTTAAGTATTATATCTCCATTTGCTTGAGTCAGCACGAAAGTAGGAGTCAAGATGACTTATCAAAGAGAATGCTTTCTATTCCAGTAATGGTTGCTGCATTATTAGTCAGATGGTTCATGCATGCATTCTCATGACTCGGAATGTGTGTTAATTCACATGTGCGCGGCAAATGCTTGTATATAATGTTGTGGTGAAGTTAGGGATCTTTAATTCACATGCGCGCGGCAAATGCTTGTATATAATGTTGTGGTGAAGTTAGGGATCTTTTCTTTCTGCTGCTTCTTTTATGCATGTTATGATGTATGTATGCTCCTTCTAGCATTTAATGTGGGTTCAAGATTTTTAAGGATGCCAAATATTTTTGCAAATGCACAAAATATTAAACTTTTTGTGTCAATATTCATAGAAGGGATTACACTTAATAATGTACTTGAACATATAAAACAAACCATTTTTTTTACCTTACAATAGTTGTCCTTGAGGATTTCTATAAATTCAAATTCATTTTAGCCTGCATACACTGAACAACGCCATTGTGTGCAAACATGAGCATGTCTATGTGCCTGACAAGGCAGGCATACCTGATATTGACGCCTCCATCCTCAAGCAATAATTCTTCTCCGGTGTACTTATTAATGCCTTAAATTGTGCTTTTACATCGCTGCTACTTTTACTGTCTGTCTAGCTCTTGATAAGTTACTAGCAAACTTGGAATTTTTATATGAGAGGTGGTGGAAGAAGGGATGGTATTAGACACTTCAAATGTTATAAATGCAGTACTATTTAAATAGCCTAGTAAAGATTCAGCACCCACAACTAATTGGAACTGCATTATTTTGAACATTCTCTGTGGAATGCCATCTCACATAAGTATTTATGTCATGTTTTGATTTTATATTTAACATGACCTGCAGAGTTTGTGCAAGTTTATTCACCTTCACATCTCAAAATGCGTGTCTGGGAGCGCGGGGCAGGTGAGTTCCTATTGCCATGGACATCTCCATGTATCTTGCTACCTTGTGGTTGTGTATCAAATAATCCTTATTCTTTGGCTGGCAAACTCACCATTGTTCTGTGACTGTAGGAGCAACATTGGCCTGCGGAACCGGCGCTTGTGCAACAGTGGTTGCAGCAGTTCTTGAGGGTCGTGCTGGTAGGGTAAGTTTCAGATTGGAAGTTTAACAGTGCCTATGGAATGTATAGCAAGCCTTTTAACATCTTTCATTTCCAAATGAATATCATTTGTTTCAAGTTTAGAGTTTTCCCACTAAATGTCCAATCGGTTAATCTTCTTATGCCTCACCAATGTCACTGTGAAACAGAATTGCACGGTTGATCTACCTGGAGGTCCTCTGGAGATTGAGTGGAGGGAGGAAGACAACCATGTGTACATGACTGGCCCAGCTGAAGTGGTGTTTTATGGATCAGTTCGCCTATGATATCTCCTAGAATGATGATCCATTATTTAGAGCCCGTTAGCAGAGATATAATTAGAGTTTCTTGAATTTTTTTTATATGTTTTTGTATCGTGTTTATATAAAGAATAAAATTTAAAAAATAAAAAGTATAAATCAATGCATTTCCAAATAAAAATACTTTAAAAACCTACCCTACTACCATATCAAATACCCTCTAATTTCTCTTACCTGAAATTTCATATAAACACGAGTTAACTGTCAGAATAATGTTTTTGTCTCCTACTGGATCACAAACTTGTACGAATGCCCAATTGGGTTTCTGGTAGCTGATACGGGTATTGAGTTAGGCCCGAGGTGCTCTTGTTATTCGAAGTAAACCAGCTAAAGGGTTTCATCACAAAAAGTCAATTGTACCCCTGTTGGTCCTCCATCTGGAGGTCTCTGGCAACCTATTTCAGCTGCTGGTGTGCTTGGACACGAAAGCTGCACTTGGCCCTGTTTATGGGAAATTGCTGTGTTATGGACTCCTTTTCAGGATGCTGTTTCACTTTAATATTTCTATCTGTGTTTTGGTTGTCTAATGATCCATTGCCTGGTTTTGAATTTTCTAGCCAAGCAATAATAGGCGGCCTCTCGTCCTTAAATATTCAACCAATAAAGAGCAGAAAGCTGCACTTGGCCCTGTTTATGGGAAGTTGCTGTGTTATGGACTCTTTTTCAGGATACTGTTTCACATTAATATTTCTATCTGTTTTTTGGTTGTCTAAGGATCCATTGCCTGGTTTTGAATTTTCTAGCCAAGCATGTGGGCCTGATATTTTTTTTTAATAAAATTTTTTCATTAATTCTTTTTATTTAACTTCAATGAATATCTTCTTTATTATTTATTTATTTTGTTTTATTTTTTACTTTGCACTAAGTTTTTCTTTAAATTTTAATTAACTCCATCTCTCTTTATTTTTTTTAAATTGTTTAGTTCATGTTATTTAAATAGCAACTATTTTTTTATTTTTTTAAAATTTCATCATGCTTCAAAGAAATTATTGTAATATATCTTTAATTTTTTTTTAATTTTATATACACAAGTTTTTATTTACATAACTTATTTATTAAAATGAAAATCTTTTGTTCTTAGCAACCATAACTAACCTTTGAGCTAAAATAAATAAAAATGATATAAAATAAAAATGACATCACATAAATACCCTTGTGTGCCATTTTGATTTTTGTTAAAATATTTTTTTTACATAAAAGACAAACTTGTTATTTTATTGTATTTAAAAAAAATTAAAAAGACATAAATACTGTTGTCAAGTAAAATTTTAATTTGAAAAGTAATTAAATCATTTTACTATTAAAAAAATTGAAAATACAATTATACTCGTGATCCATTCCTTAATAACTAATGAGTCAAGTAAAGATTCCCCCTCTAATCCAAGGCTTTTGATTTTTTTTTACGTGGACAAAAGCATCACTGCACTGTAGTGCTGAATAAAAAAAATGTGTCCGTAGCTATAATAATCATGTCTTTGTTTCAGGCTATTTGCAAGAAAATTGTTTTTCTTGAATAGTGAATTTCAAGAAAAATGAATTTCTGAAAAGTAAATTTCAGAAAAAATAAATTTCTAAAAAGTAAATTATTTTCTGATGTTTCGTAGTGTTATAGAAAATAAACTGGAAAACACTTTCGAGTGTTTGGTTATGTTATGAAAAATGAACTGGAAAATAATTTATTAATTTTTTATTTTTCTCAAGTTTATTAAAATAATGAGGAACAAATCTTACAAATTAAAAAGTTGAATAATAATGAAATTGAAAAAAAATAATTTCATAAATTATCTCAAATAAAATAAATAATAATCAAAATAATAAAGATCAAATCT